AGGACTCCATAAAAAATAAAATATTTTTAAATTATGTACATGAGTGAACTTACAGTAACTCGAAAGTTAAACTATAAGGTTCATGATGTCCACCCTACTCAAACACAGAGCCGTAATTAATAGTATACCACCCTTGCACTTTTTCAGTACCTAAATATTTATCGGTGAATATACATACGTACTACATATATTATATACCAATACTTGAATAAAAGCACGTCTTTAAAAACCTGAATTGCCGCTTAAGGCAAATGCTCATTATGACATCACTTAAGGTTGTTACTACATTGCAATCGGCAACAAATTGCGCCGACTGGTTCTTCATAAAAATGAGAGATAAAAATAACGGCCTGAAGTGCTTAAGGAAAAACTTATGTGCTGTTTTGTTATAGATCATTTCTTAATTTTGAAAAAGCAAGTCCAAACTAGGTTTCTCTAGTGTTATTTTTTTTAATAGTAAATAAATTGACCAAATTATTTGTCGAAAATTAACCACAAATTACAAAATTATTGAAAATAAGTTTTTTTTTCCGTATATAAATATCGTTTGATTCTTCTTTTTCAGCATTACTAAATACAGTGATTAAATATTGTAAAACAAAAAAGCAATCAGTTTTTTGCGTAGTTACTACAAAGCACCATTTTAAATTGATTCTTACGGAGCTTAGGTAAACACCACTTCTTGTCCGCTTCATCGCAGCAACAGCCTTAAGTAAATACAGCCCTGTGAATTGGTCGCATAACAACTACACAAAGCTTCGAGTCACCAGCAGAAGCTGCACGTCGTAGTAACTACAGTTCGTCGAGTGAGAAAAAGAAGAACGAAACGCTATTTGCAATATTTTCTACAGTCAAACTGCGCTAAACATTAAGCAAATCTATGCAGAATGTTTCAAGATTTGTCAAAACTGCTATATACATAAATATCTCATCAATACTTCCAGATATGTATGTATATTTTTTAAGATCGTGTTTTTGTCAGTGCACCTTTTGATTAAGGAGTGATTACACAATGTTAATTATTGTTAATTAAAATTAATTATAATTAATAAAAATCCAATACAGTGATGGCCATGCAGAAACTACAAACAGCAAAGATATTCAGAGAATCGGCTTCACGCGTCTACAAACGTCATCCCAGTACATACACCTTATTAACATGATTAGGCGTTGACAACATGAACAACAATAGTCTGCGTATAATGTGCTTAGAATTGCGGTTCATCCAGTGGCGTGTCGCAACTGGTAATGAAGGCGAAGTAATCATTAACAATTTTTAAAATAGCACTTAACAATAATGATGTTTCAACATAACTATAAGAAACTTTAAAACTCTCACGTTCTAATGCACTTTCTAGAAACACACAACAACATTCTCATAGCGATGATGAAGGTAAAGTAGAGTCCGCCAAATAGTGAACATTGACTTTCTGTTTATTGTAAACCAGCCAATTGTTTTCCTACAAGGAAAAAAGTCTACCAATTTGACGTACATGAACACATTTTAAGTTACAGACAACTTAAAATCACGTAAGCCTTGTAAATTATCAGTTTTGGAAACTGAAAGTCAATGTTCACTATTTGGCGTTCTCTACTGTAAGAAATTGTATCTATAGCTGTTTACTATCACAATGTTATTTCACATTCTTTTTGTGATTGGCTCATGATTATTATATTAATTACTAAAAAAATGCTTAGGGTCAACGAAACCCGTGAAGAACTGAAATTTTTGCAGCATCGTCATCTGTATTTTCCAGGGCAGTTGCTGCCTTGGTACATTTTTAACATTTAGTAACTACAGGAGTATTTTTCTATTTAGATAAATAGCAAAGTTTTGTGAAGCTATGCTGAGACTAGTAAAGTAGAGTCCGGAAAATAGTGAACAGTGAACGGAGTCCGAAAGCATCAAGGGTTTTGCATTAAATATTATAATAACAATATTGAATCTAACGTTGTTTATGGAACAAGATTTATAGAAAAATTTAAAGTAAATTTAATAAACCTCTAAAGAATTTCAAGCTTAGACGGCTAAACAACCAGCGAGAAGCTATACACTGAAGTTTGGGCTTTCTTATGGTCTCATCAATGCATCATATTTCAGTGTTTGTCTAGTATACCAAGTGATTTATTGTAAGTGCCTTAAGTCGGTAAGCTAAATTCCTTACATCTCACTAAATTATTTTATTTATGTTTTTTTATAATTTGCACCATTGATATAGAGTTATTTACCCAAAACTTCCTTGACTTTAAAGCAGATTCGAACAAATACTGTTTCTTTGAAGATTAAAAAAAAATTGTTTATTATTTTTTATGACAAATCCTATAATACAGTCCATTCACGAGAGAAATTCCTTACAATAAGTTAAAACAAAGAAGACGCAGTCTGCATAGGTACGGACAGGTCAAATATATTTAAAGCAGATAACCAACGGGTAAAAATATATTATCAGTACATGATTAACTTCGATTGTTTATTAGTTAAGCTACAATGAAGCAAAACGTTCTGTAAGTATTAAGTTGATTCTTAGTCTATTATTATTAAATATAGGCGGGCGCAATATTATTGTATTCTCAAAATCCGACAAATTAGGGTAAATCGTTTTTGATTTGATCAATAAAAAAATTATGATCTACGAGTCAATGAACTAGCGACCTTCACGTAAGTAACTCAACATTTTTAAGGCATAGCCATGGAATTCAGCGCCTTTATAGTGGTACAAAATGTGATGATGCAATTTGGATTTTTTGCGAAAATCTAGATGCCTGTAAAAATCAAGAGAGACACATAAATCACAAGTATAACAGTATGTTATTTTATAAAATTTAAATGGCTTTTACTTCACAAAAATTTCAGGGAACGTCATCAAACTGTTTATAGGAATAATTAGCTAAATTTTGGTTAGCGTTTTATCATGTTCACGATTTTCCTGAAATATGGTACATATTGGTACGGTAGTTTTGGTGATTATCTGTCTAATAAAAATCAACACAGACAGAGACAGAAAGAGATCATGAAATATCGAGAAAACATGGGAGTAGCCAGTCGCCCGATGGACCCTATTATAAACCTTAGATTACGCTCGGGAAGTAAAAAAAAACAACTTTTCTTGTAAAATACCTTCTTGATTTCTTATTTCCCAAGTCTAAGCAAAGGAAATATAACTCGAGTTCATCGGACGAATTGAGAATTGCTACTTGTGATCTCTCGTTTCAGTCTATCCATCGTCCGTCTGTCTGTCTGTCTGTCTATCTATCTGTCGTCTGTGTCAATTTTTATTAGACACATTATAATGTAATGTGACTACTGTACTGTACTGTAACTACTCGACCGATTGTTGTCAAATTTTGTATGTATATTAGGAATATCATGTAGATGGTAAAACGCTAATCAAAATTTAGCCAATCATCCCCACCAACAATTTAATGACGTCATCTCAAATAATTCTATTTTTAAATGTTATACAAGAAGATTTTCCTAGAATAAGCATTATAATAATAATATTCAGAATGTTTTGTTTGATTATGGTTTAATTCTTTGACTGTATAAACATAAACACTTGAAGTTAAGTATGTTATTATTACTGAAAGAACCACATATCTGTGGAATTCGCGCCCGCATTGTGCAGGAGCTGCGGGGTTGTTATTTATGCTACTCGTTTTTCTCTTGGACTGGTGATAGGATGTGAATTGTGTTATCTATGTTGATTACATCATAACAAAATTTTGTCAGGTAAAAACTCACTGAATATCATTATCCTTTGTTTTAACAGAATCGCATGCGACTGCTTATGCTTGGTATCTGACCGTACTAATCATCGATTTTTTTGGAAGTATAAACATAAACACTCGATGTTATTATTACTGAGAGAACATTTTCCCCCTTCCTTACCTGCTTTAAATATATAGTATACATCGTCCCTGCGGGGGTGTTATTTACGTCGCTGGTTTTTACCTCATAGAGGTTATCACAGAATATATATATCTTCCTCAATTTAAACATAAGATATTAAAACTTAAGAAAACTTAAAATGAAATTCCATTTCTAGATAACAAGTGACCAAAATTGGAAAATACTTATGGGAAAACTGTAAACAGCACATGATAATTTGATAAAAGTTGAAAATATTTCTTGAGCATTGAAGAGTTTCCAGTGAGAATAAATTAAATTAGTTTTTCCTATGTTTTCATTGTTCTACATACTGGTATATTTTAAGCAGAACACGTTTTATAGCAGCCTAAAATGTGTTCATGCACATCCGATTCATGAAACCTTTGTTTCTTCCAGGCAAACAATTGGAGAGAAGGTCGGAGCTGCAAATTATTACCAAAATAATCCTAAACGGTTTATTAAGCAGTTTAAACAACATGAAGTCAATGTTCGCTAATTCCTTGTCTCTACTGCATGAACCCAGCGGAAAAACGGAAGATGTTTTGCACCAAGACAGGTAGATTTCAAGTATTTTATTAGTCGGTAAGGTGTCTGTTACCGACCTTTGAAAAACAGTCAGTAGCTACTGTTTAGCAAACCCCTTAATAATAATAATTAATACATACAACATTCTAAAAGCGGCCTTTACACAGACCAAACAGAACAGCGACTTCCTGTTTTATATGAAGGCACCAATAAACTTTTTAGGATTATGGTACTAACAATAAATTTACAGCCCTGACCTCCTCTTCAATTGCTTGTGTGAAAGAAACCCGACGAATGGTCCACGACGTTCGAGTCGCAAAACTTTTGATCCTTTCGGACAAGGAACTCAAAAGTTGAAAGCATTGTAAATCATTACTATTATAACCCCGAGCAATTTATTGCATTTTGGAAACACTATTTGACCGTCTGAGTGTACGTTGGAATTTGTGGTGGCTTTTCCAAAAATTTTTGCTGTGATCTAAACCCAATTTAGTAGTTTCGGTTTCAGTTTTTAGTCATCTTTTGTCGGAATTTTAAACGTATTTACACAGTCCTGTGCGGTGTGTATTTACTTTTATTTAGTTCTTGCTGTGTGCTTAATATAAAGCAAGTATTTTCCTTCTCCGCTTCGGTCGTCATTCCACTCACGCTCGAAGCTATGCAACACCACCAACGTGACGGCAACACCAATTACGATACAACCAATAACTAACTCTCCGTTGCCGGCTTGCAGGTGTGTGAACGCTCCAAACGGCATGCGCAAGTTTTCTCTGCACAAGTAAGTAGTCGCAACAAGGTCAATGTTCAGTTACGAACGGAGCGAGTGTGTGGCGTCTACCTTCCATGGAGTGTTTATCGAAGATGACTGACCTACGTCAATACACGAAGAAATTTTTAATCGAATTCATCGAAGTGTACAAAGCCCATCCGGCCTTGTGGCAAATACGAAACAGCGCCTATAGGGACAAGGCAAAGAAGGCAGCAGCTTACGAACTTTTAGTAAACAAGTGTCGAGAAGTTGAACCCGACTGCGATAAGGACACGATTGTGAGAAAAATCAATTCATTGCGAACTTGTTATCGGAAGGAATTTAAAAAGGTTCAGAGGTCCTTAAGGGCAGGAGCAGGGGAGGTGTACAAACCTAAACTGTGGTATTACGATCTACTTTCGTTTCTTAACGACGACCGAGATGATGAAACGCTCTCGTCGGGAGATTCGTTTTATTTCTTGGACGAGGATGCTACTAATGATGTAAGTATAGGGTTCCTACAGATAAACGCCTCGCTTTGTTCATTATATAACACTGCAAGGACACATTTAACAATAGAGGAAAGTGGAACACACGAAATCCGAACACCCTGGGTGCCATTACTGCCACAATAGTTCGTTTTCCGACAGAGGATATCATAAATTTATTCAAATTATACTACACTTGGTGGCCAAAATATATATGTGTATGAATGTGACTTCCCACCAATTTTAAGCAAAGAAATTATCCACACAACTACGTTGGGTAGTTATGGGAGTTCGATAAACTTGCGCAATAAAATCCCGTCAGTTTACTTGCGATATACGAAACAATATTGAATAAATGTAGTTTCCCTATACTGAGCCAAAGTTGGCTCAAGTTCAATGGAATGGATAATACACGCGCATACAGCAAAAGCTCCGATTGGAATTTTGCTATTTTCTGCAATGGGGGTCCATAATTTAAGTGTCGCCCCACAGTAGAGCCGATCTAAAATTGTTATATAAACAACTATCTTCTCAGGGATTTCAAAAATTTTATTCATCCGAATTTTCCCTGTGTGTTCAATGACGAACGTACTTCAACGACTAAAAATTATAATAATTTGGGATGCTGTCATAAATTTGCACAAGCATGGTGACGGAGTCAAAGGCATAAAACTAGTATATTCCTTGGCACACTATACACTATGTTAAATTTACTTGACGTCGACCGTGGAACCCACCACACTTGCAATGTAAATTTATTGAATCCCTATTATCATTTCATCCTCAACGAGCTGAATGTTCGAGATGATTTGATCAGTCTTATTGTTTATTGTTTTAGTTTTCTGGGGCACAATCTGACCCATTGACTTCTCACAGCGAAGCGCAAAGTGAATCCGCTAGAAGTTCTCCAGCGTCGATGTTTATTCCGTCCAATGCGTCCTCCCAGAAAAAGAAGCGCCGAAAGGAAGACCTGAGTGAATCGTTCACGGAGCAACGCATCGACGAAGATGAATTTGATTTGTTGGGAAGGCTTTACGCCAACAAGCTGAGAAAATTGGAAAGGGCTCAACGGATTTATGCCGAAAAAATAATTAACGATGCTCTGTTCGAGGCCCAACTGGGTAGTCTGAATCGCCATTGTAGGCTAGTTACTGCAGAATCTAGGAATTACGATAGGGAAAGTATAGTTACTTGTAGGGAAGTTAATATGAAACCAGAATATCAGGAACCTGAAATGGCTGACACATCGTTCGTGGATCCATGAAAAGTAGACATACGTAGCTCGTCATCCATGTGATAATACTATTGGCTAATAACTTTAATGTTAATAAAATACTAAAACAAAAGCTTCTTTATTTATTGGCTGTACTAATCGTCAAGTTGTATCTCCTTAATAAGGTAACACTAATATTTTCCACTTCGAAGTGAAAATTGTGTTCTCGCAATACCTCAAGCAATTTTTACTATGGAAACGTTTATGGAATGACTATCGTCATTAAAAATTGGCAACAGAGTATATTGTATAATTTATTTCAATAGTGGCGGCAGTTTTGAAGTGATTTAATCGATCCACTGGGATGAAACACAATATTATTACATGTTTAGTGAGACCTACCAAATGAGTTTTTCTGCCTTGTCAAAAACGAGAATTACAATCACATTGTCAAATGGAGATTACGGGACAATTTATTGATTCGTTAAATTTGTAGCAGCCGTAAAACAGAAAAATTGTAAATTTTCCGCAGCGGTGTGATGGATCGTTGATTTTAATTTTGAAATATTGATTTAACGGTAATATCAATCATATCAAAAATAAATTAAATCTAGGGTGTCAGATGTTGCGAGCTGGAGCTATGAGGTTTGTCACTTTTTTGTTAGCGTTTCCAATTCTTCGTCAAAAATCCATCGTGACGTGTGTTGTGATTAAAATAGTCGAATTTGACAATATTAACGACTGACTGATCGCTGGGTTAAAACAGAAAGCACGTGATACACGTTAGAGTGCTAAATTAATGGGATTTTTATTTCTACTGCCCACAAACTTCTTAAAATATTGGCATCAACTCAAGCGTGACTTGTTTCCACTGATAAGACGTTCCAAATATTAATGGCGTTTCTCAGATACAAATACAAACATCTTTATCAAATCGTGACTAGTTTCTCTAGTCTTTAACATCTCTTAAATTTAGGCTCTTCAAACAGTTATCCCCGTACTTTTCTAAATCTTTAACAAACAATTGGTCTGGTCTAATGCGAAATCACAATGAAGATTTTAGAATGTGACCTTTGTGTAGAAGAGCATTTTGTCCGAAAAAATATTTTTTTTTGGGTTGAAAATGGGACATCCTAATGCACACCAACTAGATTGCTAGGGTTCTCGGGGTATCTTATTATTATTACTATTATTATAATTATATAAATATATACAAAATTACACCTAAAGGTGCCGGGTGGCTATAGGGTTAATCCCCATATAATTAAATTCCAGAAACCAGGTCACTACTTACTTTTTTATCAAAAGTGAAAAAACATAAATTATCTACCAATGATTCCTATCAAAGATTAGCATTAACGAAAACAGGAATTTAAAATTATTCTTTTTTGAAAGTTTGTCTTTGATTGAACTTTTAACTCAAACTAACGGTAATCTGTGACAAGATAAAAATTGTATCAAAGAGAAATCTTCAAAAATTGATGGGTGCCTTGGATGGTGTTCGTTATTGCTCTCTCGGTATTATTGTCCTTATACTCAAAGTTTATACATATATTTTGAACATTTTAAAATCATAGTGAAAATTATATTATTTCGTCAAATATTTTCTTAATTTCGGCCTAAATCAAAACATAACAAAAACATAAAATTTTGTAAAGGAATTGATTTTGAGTTTGAAGTATAGAATGCAGTATACTTTCAGGGTCGGATTAGGTCACCGTATTAAAATTGAATTTGTGTTGTGTTTTACTAATGTAGGAAAAGGTGTAAAATAAACAAGATATATTGTTTTTACCAACACCCTATATATTTTTACATATTTTGATTGACCTCTACTTAGGCTTCATAACCGCAGTTTATTTTTGAAATTCCGAAGCGACGTTGCCACGTTATTCCAATTGTCTTGAAATTTTTTAGCAATAGAAGGGTTCACAAAAATATTGCAGTAGGGTTATTCTTAAAAATCTTTGTTACAATAGGTCGTAGAGGGATAAATAAAGGTGCGTGTTTTGTTGTGGTATAAATAAAATTAAATCTTCATGTACAGAGTATATAAAAAAATTAATTATTACAATTTCTGAAATATTCGATAGTTCAGTTTTTTCAAATAGAACAACCTGTATTTTATTACTGCATCTCGTATTTCCGATATTTAAAGTTAAAGAGACACACCGACATATTGGAAGAATGAAAATAAAAAATAGAGTAAGATAAGGTAATAAAAAAACGGGTTCTATTTGAAAAAACTGAAATATCGATATTCGAAAATTGTAAAATTTTAGATGTTTTTATAAACACCCTGAATATAAAAATTTCATTTAATTGGTACCATAACAAGTACGTTTATTGATCCCTCGATGTATTGTAAGGCAAATTTTGGATTTTTTGTGCCATTTTCCATTGCCAAAAAATTCAGGAAAATTGAAATAACGTGGCAACGTCGCATCTGAATTGCAAAAATAAAGTAATTTAAAGCCTAGGAAGAAGATAATTAGAATATCTAAAAATATATAGGATGTTTCATTAAAAAAAAAACAAGGTTTGTGTTATGTCTTAAAACAGAATACTCTGCACAGTTCAAGATACTTATGCAGTTGAGAAGAATAGTATAATTTTGGTCTTCAATTTTTTTTTGTACCTCTAATAATTAAAAATAAATGCATCCTTTACATTATTACGTTTAACGGGTGATCAAAATCGGCGTGGGTTAAACTCAACAATTTTATTTCTTAATAACTCCAATTTATACGCGTAACTATACAGCGATTATGTACAAAATAATTCCAGCGTTGTCTGGACTACACTAACTGCTCCCGACGCTGGTTTTCATTTAACAGCCGCGCGGTCCTTCTCGAAGGTCTCCGTCCCCGCTTCTAGGCTTGTTCTCGAACATCCGTCGCGACATCCGCTTCCAGGCTTTTCTCCGGCCGCCGTCACCGACAATGAGTCATCGTCGGCGTACATAATAGAACCCATAGGCGTCGTACTGGGGCGGCGTATGAGTTTATTTCGTAACAATATTATCTCCACCTGAGAGTATAGGTATTACAAACATGTAAGTGTGGAAAAACATTGAATGTTTTCTGAACCTGCAAAGCTAAAATTTCAAAGCTTCGAAAGCACATAACATCTCAGATGTTGACTCCCAGGTGTTGCATATAACGAAAATGAAAATTTAGGATTTCCAAATATTTATTTTGCGTGTGCTTGGATCATAAAAATTTGAATAACTTCCAAACTTTCTTTTATTTACAGTCGGGGCTAGAAAATCTTGGACGTTAATGTCATTCCACTGCCATAAATTGCAAAACCCCTTTAAGTAATATAACTTATTTTTACTTCTCGAGCGTAAGCTAAGGAAGTATTGTCACAGGGTCATGATCCCGAGAACACGAAAAAATGGGTCCCCGTTTCCGTCTGTCTCTCGTTCATTTTATTAGACAATTAATCTCCGAAATTACTGGACTGATTGTCAATTTTCATATGCGTGTTAGGAATATCGTGTAGATGGTAAAACGCTAATTAAAATCTGTCTAATCATCTCCAACATCAACTTAATGATGTCTCCTCATTATTTTGAATAGTTAAGGTTACCTAAATGTTAGGAAACAATATATTCCTGTACTAGTGGTTTACGAATCCGCCTTGATTTATATTATAATTACTTCACAAATCTTTTTTGTGCAATTTTTCAAGTGGTTTATGTAGTCGATATTTCGCTTCTGCATCAAATGCTTCGTAATCCAGTGGAATTGATGGTTGACATATTCGGACTTGTGCTCTGTGACTTATTATATGTACTGTTCTTACTTGTCGAGGTTATCAAATAATAAATAAAATTTTATAATTTTACCAAAAAAAAACTGGATTTGTTTGAGCGAAGGGAGTTCTGTCTAAATAACCCTAGACTAATTTTTTTTATTATGTCATTTTTGACATTGCGAGCAGGCTGACACCGGATGTAACCTGATAAATCTTTTAAACCTTAAACGTCAAGTTGATAAATTGATAATAAGTCACAAACTATACCAAAATTTTGAAAATAACAGAAACGTGATGTTCGCTATTTTCTGGCCACAACTGTAGCTCTTTAATTATGCATTCGTTCTAGAAGCTGAGTACACAGGATTGTACAGCGAGTTGGCTTTGAAACTTCTTGAATTTTGCCGCCTCGTTGTGATGATTGTCAATCATAATCAGACTTTCTGTAGTGTGAGAATGTGCTTGCCGGAAAATGGGGCCAATTTGAGCATTTCTTGTAGGAATACCTGACTGAATACAACAAAAGAATGTGATTCACACCCTCCGTAAATAATTGTCCCATCAAAGTCGGCATAACATTTTTTGTCCATCGAAAATGGGATTGAGAATTTTTTATAGATATATTTAATAAAATGTGCATTATTTTAATCTGTTTAATCTAAATTATTTTTCTTTATATCTATGAGGGGTTGTTATTTAAAGACAGTAATGTACTTTCGGCTGCGACAAGAGCGAAGATCATTTGTTTTTTAACCAGTACATCAGGGGCGGCTGGTAGTACATATTCCCTTTATTTTACTATAATTTTGCAGCGACAGAAGTTACATATTTTTTGGAGTTCGCAGATTGTAGAACATGAAAATGCATGTCTTCACTTCCGATTGGTACAGGTCGTCGCATAAATCTGCGATTGTCTATCTCTTCGTTATTTATTATACATAAAATCCCCGGAACTACAAAATCGATTACTTTGACATTGAAAGTCCAAGATTATCGTGGGGGGGGGGGAAAACGTTAACGAAAGTTTGATTATGTACCGAAGTATTGTTAAACCTTATTTCACATCAAATTTCATAACTTATCCCAAAAATGTAGTTGAAATTTTATAAAACATCGATTTAGGGATTACGGAACTTTAAAATTAATTTATTCACTCCCCCGGTAAGTTCATAACCTTTCAAACCTACAGCTAATATTTATTAGTTCTCCCATTCTAGAAGCAAATATACAAAGTTTAAAGCCTAGCCAATTCTAACTCCTCTTTTTTTTGGTAACAACTTATACTAGTGTATAATTATTAATATATCTATAACTTTATTGAAACGTGTTAGTAAACAAGTGTTCCCTCGATATTGACATCACTTCCACCAT